AAAGCGGTAATACATTTCCATTTTACTTCTGTGCCGACGAGGCTTTCCCATTGCGTAAAAACATCATGCGCCCTTTTCCAAAAAAGCTATTAAACGATAAAAAGCGCATATTCAACTATCGATTATCTCGCGGTCGTAAAAGCGTTGAATGCGCATTTGGTATGTTAGTTAGTAAATTCCGCATTTTTGAAACACCTATTGCATGTGGACAAGAAACTGTTGATAATATAATAAAAGCCGGTTGTGTCCTACACAATTTTATACGAAACACTGAAGGTCGTTTTTCAGTGCCTCTATTAGAAGACGATGTTAATGTTTTAAACGAATCTGGACCTATACTTCTTCCTGCAATTGGTTTACATACTACTGAACACAATACTGCAACAGCACTACGAAATTATTTATCTGAATATTTTATCACTCCTCAAGCAGCAATTCCATGGCAGTGGAAGTACTGTGTAGAGCATGAATATAATTCCGAGTAGGCCAAGATACTATGAAATGCCGTGTATTTGCCAAAATACCAGAAAATAAAATAAAAAATTAAAATCAAAACGGTGGTTTCCTTTTGTACTCACCTGCTATACCTGCTTCCTTGGAAACTGCACACCAAGCTTTCTCCGTTACAGTACGTTTAGAATAATCGTCCCTGGTGAAATTGTATAAGCAAGGATATTTTTCGATGATTTGTACGAATATAATATTTTGCTTTTCTTCCGACATTTTCACGCAACAAGCAATTAGCAACACAACCTAAATATCGTTTGCAGTACAAATCGTCCGATTTCAGACCCTATTATTCGATACGATATCGCTGTCGTCTCGGTTTGAAATGTCTCAACCTACACAATGCATTTGTATACAGCATGATATGAGCAACTCAGATCTCGCATCGCTTATTGCTTATTGCCTATTGCTTTGGTGTGAATTCCGCCTTATAGCAAAGGACAGTTTGTTGCAATTACCATCACTGAAAAAAAAACGTTTTATCCATGTTGCCAACTAGCTAAATTTGACAGCGAGAAATAAACATTAAAAGTATATAGAACTAGTTCCAATTTGATCGCTGTCTGAGACAGAATATGCCTCGCAATTACTTTCGAGAATTAAGGTTTAAAAGATAATCAGTCTTTAATTTAGAATTGAAATTGCTTGAGTTTGCCATAGCGTGAAATACGTAGACAGAAAGTCCATGATTGGAAAACTGAGTTTTACTTTTCGTTCAAGAGTGTAATTGCCTGTGGTGATGGCATGGTTATCTTAATTGAAATAGATAATATGGATAAGCTTTAAATATAATATATTTAGGAAGTTTAGTAATTAATGAATGAAAATGTAATCTAGTTATTTGGTTCAATCTCCATTGTAAATTTGATGTAAGATGTTATAAAAATTCGTGTATTCATGTGGCCATATTACCAATGTGTAATCGACGTAACGACACCAACACTTTGGTTTTTAATTTCAATATTAAATGCAGAATGCAGCATGTATTTGCTGTATTTATTTATAAATAACGAAAAGCGTATCTTTTTATTTTATTTTATATTACAGTTTATTAAAAAGATGCTCTGAATCACATACGATAGCAATCTGTTAACCTCGTCATAAAACCATACTATAAAAACAAACTTCCTTGCGAAAAGATCGATGTATAATATGCACTAAAAAATTGAAACTAAAGTCTGGGCAATTTTTTTACGAAACGTCTGCAAGACTCATATGTACTGAGTGAGCTTTCCCTTTAAATTACTTGATAAGATGAATGCAACGAAACTTGGTAAGATAAAACTAATACCAATAGAGTTAGACTCCAATAGTCAATCACTTATTAGTCCCGAAACGTTAGTAAAACGTTCACCGCAATAGTTACTGTAATTAAATAACAATTAAAGTTGTTGGAATTAACAACCAAGAGTAGTAAAGAATTTCAGGTACTCCAGTAAAATTTATTAGGTTTCTTTAGGCGATCGATTTCGATCGCAAAAATCAACAACACCTAAATTTTCTACACACAGCAAAATCATATGGAGCCATCCCAAAGTTCTTACGCATCTCCAACAAGAAAAGTTCACCTAATCAACAGCTAGTCATTCACAAAAAACTTTTGCAACTTGAGATTAACCAACAACACAAATGTCGACAAAACATACATCAACGATTAAAATTCTTACATCGACAACTACTACAAGAACTTCACCACATCGAATATATAACAATAATCAACCAATTAGAAGAAGACATTATACATCAAAATACCGAAATGGACTACAAAAGAAACAAAAAGCTAGAACACCTCATAAAAGAAAGGCAACAAAACAGCCCTACAAAGAAAAAAAAGTCCAAAAACCTTAATATTGGTAAAACCCGATTTCATACAAACCCCATGCAGACAAACAATCAACCCCTTCCCATTCCTTCCCAGCACGATATAATAACCTCACCAACATTCGTCTAACGAGCAAAGAAGAAAAACTGCTTAATCTAGGCCAAAAATTCGCTCCACCGCCGAAACATTTTTCATCAATACTAATAGCCGTAGATATCGAAAGTCAACTTTATTCACAAACTGATAAAGCCATATATTACGAAATAAGCCACATACTCAATCAACACGCCTGTATTAACAAGGTCAGTAAATCTAACCATTTTTACAATATTTTAAAAAACTTGAAACAAAAAGTTAAAGGCAACAATATTATTATCACTCCAGCTGATAAGAATGCTGGAATGGTTCTAATAGACAAATATGAATATGTTCAAAAAAACTCAAATACAATCCACTTAACAGATGTATCACTGAATTTAGAGACTTAATTAACTTTTGTGAACCAACCCTTCGAAACCTGTAAATCAAAACTGAAAATCAAGAATCCCCAAATTCCTTCCCTTTACAGCTTAATAAAACTCCATAAAACCAACAAACCTATTCGACCTATTACTGCCTCCACAAACTCTCCAGCACAACCCTTAGCCAAATTCAACAAAACATTTCCATAAACAATTCACAACCACTTATTCAAAACATTCAAAAACATAAATGTCCCCACAATTTTAGAATGGTATCCTTTGATATAGTCAACCTATACACGAACATACCTATTATGCACTTAAAATTCTTTCAGACTTCCTTTACACCAACGAAACCACTACATTTGATTTCAATTTTGATCCTATAGACATAGAAAACATCATCAGTCTATTCCCCATTGTCACTAAGCAAAACTTTTTCAACTTTAACGATTCCTTCTATGTACTACCAGATGGTCTGCCCATGGACTCCCCCATTAGCGGGATCTTAGCTAACTTATACATTGACGATATTGAAAAACAAATATTACAAATACCCGAATATAGTCACATAACATTTTGGAACAGATATGTCAATGACATTATATATACTCTTAAACATCACAACTACACCCTCACCTACAAATCACACAATACTACTGCCAAACACTAACTAACAATAAAACACCCATCTCCTATCAAAATAAATCTGGCATATATCAAATAAACTGTGACGATTGCACTAAAACCTACATAGGTCTCACATGCAGAAAATTAATACCCGTTTTAAAGAACATCTGAACAATAACCCCACATCAGCAATCGGCACACACATCTATAATGAACATCACCACATTTCCATCGAAAACACAAAACTTTTACATATTGATAACAATTATAATAGATTAAAAATACTTGAAGAACTAGAAATAGAAAAATACAACACATTCACAACATTCACACAATCTCTTAAATGAAATTTCAAATTTTTCAGAACCACACTTTTTCAAACATCTTTACCCCTTCAAAAACACGCATACAAAATAAAGTCTCACCACAACACAACAAACAAACAAATACAACTCCATCCCACGCTTACCCCTAACACCCGACACCACTGACAAAACACACACGCCACTGAATATACTTCCTAACCACACATATGATTATGAATATAACTATATATATATATATATATATATATATATATATATATATATATATATATATATATATATCACATGTGGCACCTATATTTGTTAACTCATCATTTGGTAATTAATTTCACATATACTAATAGTTTGCTTACATTGTAATTTACAGGCTCCATATGTTGTTACATCAATTTCACTTTTTATCTGTTAACTACCTGACGGTAATTATTGTAACCTTTTTATACATATATTTATTACAATAATTTTAGCTACGGCCTGACGATGATAGCATATCGAAATTGATCGCCTAAAGAAACCTAATAAATTTTACTTGAGTACCTGAAATTCTTTACTACTTTATCAATATACTCAAGATGGAACACTTCATAGACAAATGTAACAACTAAGAATGTTGTGCGCTCTTTCCTTTTATAAAAGAGTATCGGCGTCGCCAGTTTTCAAGTTTCCACACAGCGCGACCTCGAACAAGTTGTATAGTAGCGACCATACTTATTAAAGTACATTCAATAAATCGGTCAACTTATTTCGTGGCATCCTAAGGGAATTTTAAACATATCATCAAAAATATTGATTTGCGTATGACGTTATAAATTAAATGACAATGACATAACTTTCCGGAAATTTTCTGCTTTACATGCTGCAATTCGATTTCACTTTCCCGGGAAATTTTGTTAATTGAACCTACAAAATATAGGTTAGATACACGCCTTTCATAACTCGTTTTATTTCTATGCAATTGTAATTTCTGCTTTCCGTCTGTCAACACAAATGATCCAGAACATCCAGAACACTCATTCTTTTCCATTGTACTCATATGAGTACAGCAAATAATATACGCAGTGACTGCTACGCAGTGACTGCTACCCCGTGCCCACGGAACTATAGTCCTCCAACTCTCGTTCCGTGCGCACGGAACAGCAGTTGATATATTAACTCCCCGTGCTGTTAATCTGAGTTATGTGATTAAATACGAAGTTTCGCATATTGGGCACTCTAATTATTTTTTCATAAGATACGTATAAAATTAACTTTACATCAAATTAACATTATTTATTGAGAATACATTATTATTATAAGAAACTTTACAGAGTTAAACCAAATCGAAATAAATAAAAAATGAAAAATAAAATTCAGTTGTTGGATGGACCTGATGCTTTACGCCTTTTTCTTTTTGTACCAATGACTGTTAACTCTGAACCCTTCGGTCTTCCACATTTAACCATTTTTGGAGGTATTTGTATTTCACGTAACACTGGAATAAACAATCTTAAAAAAATACAATATAGTAATAATTGTGTTTACCATATTTCTTGCTAGTTCCTATATTATCATGTTTGTTGCTGATGTTCGATTCTAAAATTTTTCCCACTCCATCTGAAATTTCTAGATTTTTTGATATCGTTTCTTCTGCTACTATTTCTGCTTCCCCTTTGCTGTCATTTTTCTGGAATACATAGTACTCGTAGTTGCGTTTATTACCATCCAAAACACTTCCTGTTACTGGTAGCATTTCTCTTTCTATCAATTCTACTTGTTTTGCGAGTTGTAAATCTTCTGGTTCTGATATAATCTCTGCTTCTAATATTTCTGTTCCTTCTGGTAATATTTCTGCTTCATGTCTTAGTACTTCCGAGTCAATTTCTTGAGATGGACAGTTGTGCGTATTATCACCCAATAAACTAATTGGTATTTCTTCTTCTGTTAATACAGTACCTGACGTTTCTGATTCTCCTGGCAGTTCTAAATCTAATGATATATCTGCCGCCTCTGTTAATATTTTGGAGTTAGTTCCGTGTAATTCGTAGTGGTTATCGTCCAAAACACATATTTCCGTATTATTTGATGAATTGTGATCATTACTTTTCTCATCAATCACTTCAACAATTAAAACTTTTTTCTTGCTTTGATAAAAAGACTTTAACAGTTTCATTTGATCCATAATTTCTCGGTATCTTTTATTCCCATATTGTGATATAGTAACAGCTAAGGAATTGCATAATTTGGAAGCCTCTCTAAATTTCTGGTGCTGATTTAAAACTGGCTTGCTTATGGTATGTTCAGTTAGTAGTTCATGGTTTGAATCATAAATGGGTAGGTCTTTCATAGTTGCTCGATGGTTTTCAAGGTAATACTTCACAAGCCATCTTTCATTTACCAACAATTCATCATATAATTCAGCAAAGATTTAAACTGCTTTTCAAGATGCGACCACGCAAATGCTGTTATCAATTTCATATATCGGTATTCGGTGGAAGAAGTTTGATAGTGAGTAACGGGGGTTTTGTACAGCAAAAGTTGGGCACTATGATCCCGGTCTATTCTCAAGGACTGTAACACTGTTTTGAAATCGGTATAAAATTGGCATAATGAACTATGTCTGTCAACACCCGATTTAATTTTTTGATTGATGCTCTCCAAACGATTCGTAGTGCTATTATTTAGAGTAAAACATGAACTCTTTAAACCTTCTACCCATTCATTTTTTATGTTATGCCAGTTTTCATCATAATACTTTAAAACATTTTTAACATCAAGTTTCTGTAATTCCTCGTAGTTAATATTATATTCTTTAAGAGTTGCCGAGTAAGCTATTTTTTGTATTACTTGAAGACACTTTTCTCTCGTTTCTTTTTTTATGGCCATCCTTTCAATAGTAATCTCCCTTCTAAATGTCCGAAGTGTATGAAAAAGACAAAGTAAAACGTCTGCGTGTGGAAATTCGTTCTTAAAAATATTTCTCTCTGTCATGTCTTTATCGGTTAATATTGTCACTGTCTTAACCCATGCCTCATTCTTGTATTTAAACGTTTTAATCATTACTTCGATAGCGGATTTACTCTCATCAGCCATCAAAAAAGTAGACACAATTTCACTTTGACCGTTACCATCTACTGCGAGGAGTATGTACAATGCCATATTCAGCTCGTTTAATTTATAAGTAGCATCGCATATTAACAATTCGGGAAATGTCTGAAAAACATGTTTCATGAAAAAATCTTGGTAATAAATGCCAATTAAATTGCCCTCTTGGTCGTGCGCGATTTCTACAGCACAGCCCTCATTTTCAGATAATATTGACACAATTTTCTCCAAATCGTTTGACTTTAATGGCAATCTTGTAACATACTTTATATTACGTATGTCTTTGCTCAAAATAATTTTTCCAGTCTTTTGCATGATGTAGTTTTGAACATCTTTCGGATTTGCTCGTAATTTTAGTAGTTGTTGAACTTCCTTTTGATCTTCGCTGTCTAGTTTCCTTTTTTTGGCAAAGTGCTTATACGCATCCTGTTAATTTTAAACTCATATCAATTGCAATAGCATTACCCATTCACAATGTTCAGATCATATTTACCATAGGGTGGCCTATGGAAAAAATTCCTCTGTAGGTTTGTGAACGTGTGTTCAACATTTAAATTGGGTTGGGCCAAACTTATCGTAAATAAGGTCTGATCGGATATTACCTACCACGTGCTTACAAAAAAACCAATATCTATCTTTTTTTACTTATTAAATTGATAAGTCAATATTAGCCGAATTTGTATTAGAAATACGGTGTACTACCCAATTTTTCTTGCAAGCGGTGTTGTAGGTACCTAATAAAGGCAACATCTTATGTAGTAGGTCTACATAACATGTTGCCTTTATTAGGTAGGTACCCACCTTATTTCTGATATGGTTGTGTTGATCGTGTAGTAATTTGCAAAGTAGGTGTTTACCATCTTCTGCAAGAACGAATTTTATTTTCATGGGGCATCCCTCATACATTGTACTAAAATAAATTGCAAAAAAAATATTAGTATATAGGTATATCTATATCTTAGTAAAATTATTTTCGATAAGTTATACGTACCTAAGTATAGATACCGATAATTACTTTTATTTAAACGGAAGAAAATATAAACATATGTACTTACGAAGATTTTCTTATCGCTTTTCCACGACTCTTGAAACGCTTCCCTCCTTTTGAACATGTATACTCGACATAGTAATACTTAAGGTTCCGATTTCCTCTTGCAGCTCTAGGATATTTTTTGACAGCTTTAGATAATGAACAGGAATCTCTTTTCTGTAGAGTAACGTAATTGGTTGCTTCATATTCTTTTATTTCTTGCTCCAACTGTTCCAATGTTGCAAATAACGCACCCTCCTTCATTTTATTATTGAAACAATATCGTGCTTCTAACCCAAAACAACCTAACCTATCTTAAATCACAGCTGATGTCTGAGCATAGTACGCACGGGGTGCTAGGATACCCACTGCTGCTCCGTGCGCACGGAGCAAGAGTTAGAGGACTATAGTTCCATGCGCACGGGGTAGCAGTCACTGCAATAATATAACATTCTGCCATCCCTAATAAAGGCGGTTTTAACTTTCCAGATTGTGTACCAATGACTCAAACTACTCTAGGGTAAGTCCGGGATAGATGGACCACCGGGATAGACGGACCACTTCGATATTTCAGAGATTTGCCACCAGAGCGCAGCGAACAGTGTTTACAGTTGTACTACTCCATCAGTTATAGTCGTGTTCTAAAGATAACGTTGCTATTTTACGTAGTTTTCTTTAAAAGTGTGTTAATAACTTTGGGTAAGTTGAAAAATTTATTACACTAAACTATCATTTAACAGTGTGTGCTTAGTTTATGCGATTTCGACGTCATGTCGATGGTGCTACTTAAGCAAATGTGTAGGTATAAAAGTAACCTCAAATTACGTGTCTCGAGCCACGTGATAGTGAACTAGAAAGTGGTCCATCTATCCCTGACGAAAGGTATAGATGGACCAGCTTCTTTCAGGATAGTTGGACCAGTTTAAAAAATATAGTATCCAGTGGTTCCCAACCTTTTACTAACAACGAACCCCCCTTTAGATTTTTTTTCTGGCGAACCCCCAACTTATTCTTATTCATAATTTAACATTGTCATACTTTCTCTTCTTTGTTTTCATGTCACTAGACTCGCATTTCTTTTTACTAGATTGGGGAAGTGCTACCGCTACGTCACTACTATCCTTTTGTGTGTTACTTCACGATCCGTAACTGATGATGACGCAGAAATGTCAGGCGGTACCTCATGTATCTCCTTACTTTGTCTATCGGTCCTAATAATACTCCCTGTCTTCAGCCACTGTTCCATAGTTTGCTTTTGAAGTGGTTTTCCTAATCACTTTCACTTTAAGGTTAAGAGTTAAAACTGTCATGAAGTCAACTGAACCTAGCACTGAGTTGAGAAGTGAAAGAAATGTAGCGCGTTTTTCATTCGTTTACACTCGCATTGAGTGCTGCAATCATGCGCAAACGATTTTAATGGATTTACTCATTAGGGCTTATACATGATTAAAATATCTAAATTTAGCTTAAGTAAATTTATACCGCCATTATCGTTTTTTGTTCTGCGAACCCCTTGGAAAGCGCGCGCGAACCCCCAGGGGTTCGCGAACCACCGGTTGGGAAACGCTGGTATAGACGGACCATATACCTACCGAGTTCTCAATTAAATTAATTAATTCCGATTAAGTTGGTTCATTTTCCCAAAATTAATATTTTCTGTTAACAGAAACTTAATGAATGGTTTTTGTTACAGAAAAATGCCAGCATTATATAAAAGGGACAACACGACGAGGTGAATGGTCAGAGAATGCTCTGAAAAATGCTGTAAAAATGTAGAAGAAAAGAAAATGGGTATAAATGCTGCTGCCAAATTGTTTGGGGTTCCCAAAACCACTTTGAAAAGGCGGCTTAAGTCTAAAAACTATTGCAAGGGCTCCTTAGGTAAATCTTCACTATTAGGCACTGAGAATGAGAAAAAAATAAGCTGCAGTCACGTGGGTTTACTCCTACCAGAGACTCGGTCCGTTCAATGGCTTATTTTTTGGCAGAAAGTCTAAATCTAAAACATAATTTTAACAAGGAATTCAAACAAGCCGGCTATGACTGGCTTACTTCATTTCTTGCTCGAAATCCAGAACTTAGTATTCGTCAAGACGAAGGGGTATTCTTTAAAGACTTGAAGAAAGCACGGTCTAATGGCTGTAGCCAATGACTTGTATGGGGGGGAATACATGTGGCATAATTCCTTTTGAGTCTCAAGCGATACCAGACTTTGCTTTTCTATTTATTATTATTTATTTATTTATTATTATCCCTCTCTTGTTCTGGGCCCTCAACAGGCTTGCGTCCAATTACAGAGTGACCCTATTTCTATCTGAAACTATTCACTCACCAGAGGCTGTTTCCACTCATACAGCTCCACTACCTACAACACCCGAACCTAATGGGTCTTTAGAAAACAACCCGTCAGCAAATGATCAACAACCTGAAGCAGGACCTAGTAATTTATTAAATGTTGATATTCCTGGCCCTAGTTCAAAGAGTGATACTGCTCGGTGGAAAAAGAAACTCCCTCAAAGCTGTTGGATAAAATACATCCAGTGCCTTGTGCCAGTAAATTGGAAACGTTAAAAAGAAGGGCTCAAAGTGTATTAACTGTTTTAAGCTCGCCGGAAAACATTCAATCCCTAAAAAAGAAAAAGGCCGAAAAAGAGCTGAAAATTAAGAATAAAGAACAGAAGAAAAAAGAAAGGGAGGAAAAGAAACTAAAGGAAAATAATAAGATCAATACGAAGTATGAAAAAAAGACCGTTCAAAAAAAGAGACTGCATAAAAAGAAAGAACTTACATCGTCTTCTGAATCAGAAGATATTGATTTGGATAAAGTTTGCAACGACGAACTTTATGAAAGCGATATGGATTGGGATGAAAATGAATGTGTTTACTGTGGCGAACATTACAACGAAACTAAAAAGGAAGACGATTGGTTAAGTGCTTAATATGCTCCCGTTGGACTCATGAAGGCTGTACAAGATTTGATAATTTGTGTGATTACTGTGGAAAACGAGAATTGAAAAATAAATTGTAATGATAAATCTGTAATTTTTCAGAACTAACCCTCCTTTCCTAGCGCCCATGCAGCCGGAGACTCCTACGAAGGAGAAGCGTGCCCGACGCAACGCCGTGCGGAGATTTCTCCGGAGGACGCCCGTACCACCACCGAGCCCCGTCAAGGCACCACGGGAGTGGGTTCTACACTCATGCGAACGACCGCCGACCTACACTGCGATCAACCCATTCACCGTCGCCGCCAACGACCCAAGACGTTTCGTCGTACGCGACCGGCATCGGAAACAACTCATGCTCCGCCTTTTCGGCGATGATTAATACCTTTGTAATTCATGTAAAATAAATAGTTAGGACCACCAATAAAGAACACGCACTCAACCACCAAACATTATAATCCAAATTTGGAAATAAATTTATCCGTAGATGCTTCAGAATATGGTTTAGGTGCAATGCTGACACATACTTTTGCAAACGGTGGGGAACGCCCAATTATAGGTATTATTATATTACTCACATACAGTAGCTATCCGTCATAATACTTACACTATACCTTGCCATACATCCAGTAAGTATAAAAGTTCATTTGTTTTCAATGCGGTAATAACTTTAAATAGTACCAATATGCTTATGAATTGTTCGTTGAGTATGTTTAAAAGGAAACTATTTAAATATATTAAGAATTATTAACTTTGTCATTTACTTACGTTTTTGCATTAATTACCAAGCGCCGAGTTAGATTTGTTATACATATTTATTGTTATATTTATATATAGTTGTTTTTTATTGTCTTGTTACAGTATTGTTATCTATATGCTTAAAATATCAACTCTTTGGTTGTTTTTTTGGTTATCTTAGTCTACTAGTGTTCTTTTAGGAGGGGTGGAAGACCGCCATTTAGGCGAACCCTATCCTTTTATACACCAGCTGATGGTTTATAATAAACGTTATTATTATTATTATTAATTGCGTTTTCCTCTAGAACATCATAGGCCGAAAAAAATTACTCCCAAATAAATCGCGAAGCGCTAGCAATTGTTTATGGTATCCAAAAATGTCACCAATATCTTTTTGGAAGAAAATTTAACTTAATTACGGACCATAAACCATTGATTACAATTTTTGGACCATAAAAAAAAGGAATTCCCGTAATGGCTGCTAGTCGCCTTCAGCGAGAGAAAATTCGATGTAAAAATTCTGACAATAAAAATCAAAAATCGATGGGTTACCCTACCCTAAATTTCATGTAAAATCTAGCATGCCGTATACTGTCCGGATGCGCAGTGTCTGTTATGTTACACGAGGTTCGTATGGCGCAAAAGTAAATCTTTAAAATGGACATTTGATCAACTTGATGTATGTAGATCTTTTCTGTGTCAAGCCGCCTCCACATTACATGGTAAACTAGGCGAACGCCATGTGTAGATACAGATTTTCTTACCAAATGAAAGCTTGTCAAGTGGTTGTGCACATTATGTGCCGACACCGCGTATCATGAGCACACGGTTATGCTAGATTTCATAAGTTTTATAAATATTCAATCACGAATTTCTCAATTTTTTTGTGCATCAACCAATCATACAGCAAATTGATTGCTCTTTAACAAATATCTCAAAAAGATATATAATTGCACTTGAAAGATAAAAGTTACGTGTCCGAATGTACACAATCAATAAACAGCGTTTTATAAAGAATAAGCATATACATTTCTAAACAAAATTACAAAGTTATCAAAGTTTTGGCACCACTTCCACCGAGGATAACAGGATGGACGAACGTTTTATAAGTAATAAAATAACCAAACAGGATAACTTTATAGGTTATTGTTCAGTTGGAAAATACAAGAAATTTTTGAAGCACTTTTATAAAATTTTGTACATAAGATCACTTTTCCGAAAACAAACTTCGAAAAGTAAAACATAAATAATTTCTTATTGTTGCATGCGTATTTCCTTGGTTATCAATGTGTGGTATACTGGAAATGAAGCGTCAACATTGGAATTTTAATCAACTGCTTTTAAGACGCCTTGAATAACAAAGTAAGAATGTTACGATCTCTTCCCAAGTTTGTCAACAGTGGCACTATTGGGAATGCAAGTTTTTATCAAAAGAGACCAGGGATTCATTTAAACGTGACATACTGTGGTCTTTAGCACCGAACTAGAGCAACTGCACAAATAATTTGTTATGGCCGTACTGACACTTTGGGGTATTAAATTGCCTCTAGCAATCTTTAAAGGGTTTTGGGATTCCTACATAAATATTACGAATGACTTTCGACTTGCTGTGGGAAGTATACCGAAAAAAATTTCTATCGCCTAGAAGTCCTCCAAAAACATGAATATTTTAAATTTCCACACGTGTGTGAGTTAAATTAGTTTAGGATTTTAAACGTTACGCAAAATTCCGTACAGTTGTGTAAAAATGTAAATAAACCCTTCCCGAATTGTACAAAGATAGCTTATAATGCAGCAAAGCACTCTAAAAATTAAATATTTCAAGCGTACGTACAGGGCAAAACGCCTATATGCAAATCGAAAGTTCTATTGAAAGTACTTTTGAACGTGAGCGTAATAAAATTGTAAAAAAATGCGAACATCAATATGGCGTGGCATGTTTTAAATAGATTACAGTTAACCAATTTTGCTGTGCTCTTGTGAATTTATAACGAAATTCTCTCAACAGTTATAAGTGGAGCTAAATTTCGGGAATAAAATTGCGTAGATTATCGAAGTGCAATCTTCACGTAATTGTTAAACTGGGCGTAAAACTTTGTTAAATTTTCATCTTTATTATTGAAAGGGATCGTTTTCGTGTCCCTTGTAAAAACCTGGGACAGAAATCGAGACCTTTATGACATAAGGGTACTGTTTTTGTGAGGGGCAACACAATAAAAAAAACTTCCATGGTGTATCGTAAATTATGATCTTGAATTAATTAAGATTCTTGGAAAAGCGTATAGCAAAGCTGTCAAGTTCGCAAATGAAAGTATCAAAACAAATACTTTACATAAATTCATCGTGATGATGGACGAGTAGTTCTTATGGTAATAGATAACCGTAGCCGAAGTTACAGATCAGATCAACACATCGTCACATCTGCACCCGCCACTTAAGCTTTGAACGGGACTAGCGTAAATCCCGGGACAAATGGTATAAAGCTATTGAGTTCTTACGAAAGCTCATACAGTGCGCGGACTTCTGAGTGCTCTGCGTAACCGTCAAGCTTTGCCGGTGTTGCAACTTACACTGCGGTCAGGCCGAAAGGCGTGGTGGAGTTTCGTCTATACTGCGGTTGCGGCGAAATTTTCATTTTTCTTTGTTAATCTCTTACCTTAATGCAATGCAATATTTTTAAATTTTGCATACCTACAACCATCAACTTCAACCGGAATGAGGGCCCCCATTTATTTCAATTAGCGAAAGACTCGCGTATTTTTACGTTAAGTAAGCAACGAGGACTTCCAAGCAAACTTCTTAATCAACGTTACCTTAGTAAGACGAAATTGACGTAAGTTCCTTCATTAGCGTTGAAAGTTTTTTATGTGTTTCCAAGGGTATACGGAGCACAACTTTTGACTTACCTAAAACAAAAAAATACTGTTACATTTTGGCAGTGCAATAACATGACAAATTTAAGAATCGCATCAACAGGTACTTCGGCGATTATTGACATTTGATCTCTGAAGTTTTAATTGAAGCGTACATTAATTTGAGTTTGAAACTTTTGGAAGTTTGCTCTTTGTTAAGTTAAATTTGTACCGTAGTTTATTTTGTCGTTTACGGTAGTATTCCCACATCTTATATAATCGGAATAAACAACAAAAATTACTTTTGATATCTTCGTCAGAATACGCAAATTGCATGTCTTATTTTTGACATGATACCAGAGATAACATTTATGTTTCTGTTAGCAGAATGAATGATACCGTTTACCTTCCTAGACATGGAATTAACAATAGGAAGTTACAATGAATTTCGTCTGATTTGTTGAAAGGCAAGTTCTCGGTGCAATATAAATGAGAGATAGTTTGAATGCAATATCCGAGTTTTGTCGGATTTTACAAAACATGATTAAGGTTAATTAGACTCTGCGTTGAGACCCTACTACTGAAGGGGGTTATTGGCGAAAGTGATTCAGTATTAAAGTGACCCTTCGTCCCTGATTTTGTGAGAAAGTCCCCAATTTAAACTAGCTTATTAGTACACGTCCCGGAAACTGACAATGGACCGTAACGCTCAGGGCCCGTGATGCGACTAATTTTACCGTGTGTCTCGTTACCGTTGTTTCAATCTGGTCTGTTGCCGTGTTTTAGTAAATTTTTGTTATTTGGATGTTTTATTTGTGCAATGAAGTAGAAGTTGAGGTATGTTCTTTCTTTCTATATTTTTTTCTGAAACTTTAAAATTAAAAATCAGTCTGTGTTGTATTCTCGCGGCGAGTGGCTGTCATTTGTATTCTAGTGTCTATTTGTTTTACTTTTGGGGATTTAATATACTTTATAAAAATAAATTGCATTGCGTCTTATTTCTAACGTTAGTGCTTTCAATTGTTAAGACGGTTTCACAAGTGTTTAGGTTCGGCTGATATCTGTGTGCTACAATTTTTCCATCGACAATAAAATTGCTGCTTCATCTACAATTAGCCCTCTTATTTAAGAGGTATGTACATTTTAGGCCATCAACGAAGAGAGTTACCTTTAATTTCTTTTAGGATTCAAGTTCCGGCTCAACTTTTTACTTTTTTTTTATTTTAGTCTTAAGGTCTATTCACACATATCAGTGCCGTATCCGCTCAGTTCCGTGAAATTCCATCAGTATCAGTCATAAATAATATCATTACTCTAAATTTAAATGAACGCATTCACACACATCCGACACAGTTCCGTATTTTAACCTTCAGTGTCAGAACAGTATCAGTACCGTCAAAAGTGCATATTGTCGCCAACGATATTTTTAATAAATCACTGACGTGTCTGTGCGTTGTTTGCTCGTTTGTGCGTATTGCATGTGTATAAATAATTACTTTAGTTTAGTATTGGATTGAAAATAAAAACCAAAAATGGATGATGAACAGCTGATTGAATTGGTTCGTAAATATTCTGTCCTTTACGATTTGTCACATCCAAAATATATGGACAACAGTTTCAAACTCGACATTTGGAATAAAATAGGAGGAGAAATGAAAGTAAATGGTAAGTACCTACTTATTTTTATTATAATTTTTTATGTCTATACATATTTTGTTAAGTATAGTCATATATTAATATTATACATATTAAAAAGTAATTCTCTCTTCTTGCCATGGTACAGATCCAATTTCTGAATTGAAGTACTCCTTGAAGAGTTCTCTCACCCGAAAAGCATCTTGTGTTGCATTGCCCCCCTGCATAGGCAGATTGTCAAGTCTTATTTCCTCTCTTGTCTCATTCGAATTGGCGTTGATTGTTTGGTATATGTACGTGTTTGCACCAAACTTTTTAATGAAATTGTGTAGAATACATGTTGAAAGTATTATATTATCTACATTTTCTGGTTTGGACTGTAGTCGCCTATTATAGATTCTAAATTTTTGACACAAAATGCCAAATGTGTTTTCGACAATTCGTCTAACACGACATAAGCGATAATTAAAGATACGCTTCTGTAGGTCTAAATCATGTCCTGGATATGGTCGCATTAAATAACTTTTTAGAGGGAATGCTTCGTCACCTACGATTACATGTGGAGCGTCAGTAGTTGTATCTGGCAATGTAGAATTTCCTGGTACAGATAAGGTACCTCGTTGAAGTGCTTTGCCTAAATTAGAGCTTGAAAAAATTCCACCATCGCTGTTCTTGCCGTAAGCACCAACATCAACCGCAATAAAATTGTAATGGGCGTCAACAAGCGCCAGCAAAACAACTGAGAACGTCTTCTTGTAATTGAAGAACAGAGAGCCGCTATTTGGTGGAGCCTGAATGATAATATGCTTCCCATCCAAAGCTCCCAAACAGTTAGGAAAATTCCAAAGTGTGAAAAAGTCGTTGGCTATAGATTTCCACATCTCTGTTGTAGGCTTTGGTAGCATTTCATTCAGAAGGCGCTCAGTTATAACCTTGCAAGTGTCCATTACAATCTTGTATACTGTACTATGCCCCAGGCGATAACTAAAGGAAATTGTTTTTAGGGAATCTCCCGTAGCTAAGTACCTGAAAAAAGAAATCATATTTTAATTAAAGATATTATGTAACTGCTTGTACTTTACAGTTTTTGAAATTGTTTCAGGTTCATCCTGTAAAGCTAGATGGAATAATATACGAGACAATTATCGCAAATCGATGAAGAAAACAAAAACTAAGAGCGGAGACCCTGCAAAAAAAATAAAACGGTATAAATATTTCGAACAACTAAGCTTCTTAAGCAATTATTTCTACGAGAGGGAAACAAAAGGCAATATTGAAAACGATGTAGAAAACATAGATGAAGAAGAAAACTCGCAGAATGTGGATGCAGAAGAAACATATGTATCATCGGAACCTAATGAATCAGGGCCAAATGTTTCAGATGTATTGGAACCTAATGTATTAGATTCGAGTGAAAACAAGCAATCTCATTTAACTCAACGCTCATTCAAAACATCATCAAGAAGGCTACCGCCACAACAAACTGCTTCAGCAAAACTAATGGAGTATTTGATAAGTGACAAAAAGGACAAGCAAGTTACTACTGCTCCGCAACACCACGTGGACGCATTTCTAGCTGGTGTAGCTCCAACATTAAAAAGTTTTACGCCATATTACTTGCATCTAGCAAAATCTGAAATATTTCACACGGTGCAAAAATACGAAATGGAAATGATCATGCAGCAGGACTCATATCCAAGACCTGGCCCCAATTTTGTTAACACAAGGCTACATTCCGAGCACTCATCATCGACCTCCACGTCAAGAGGAACTACTCCTTTACCGTCGCCTGTTGCACCATTTCCACAACATAGTTTGCAAAATCCAAATCAAAATGAATTTTCATCTGTGGGAGATTCAAACGCGACCAACAACCCTTTGCAAAGTTATTTTCACAACTTTCCAAATTAACTGAACATGATTTTTTACATTAAGTATGTACAAATATATATTGTCGAGATTTGTATTGTTATTACTTACCTCAAACAAACTGCTAGTTGTTCCCTCGGTGTAATAGACTTTCTCCAATGAGTGTCTTGTTTTTTTAATTGTGGTCCTATTTTACTGAGAAGAATATTGAAACACTCTTCGGACATTCTAAAATATTCGAAAAATTTTGTTTCGTCGTGCATCAGTTCCTTGTATAAGGTAGCAAACTCTCCTTCAGTTTCTCTTTTTCTCCAAGCCTCATGTACCCATTTGCGCTTCTTTGTATGATGCGTCTCTTCTTCATCTAAAATTACAGCAATCATAGCCAATTCTCTGTCTGTAAACGCAGCCATCCTGATCGTCAATCGCTGAGAACTGAACTGAAACTGTACGGATATGTGTGAAGAGACTCCACTGGCACGTCACGGATGTCACTGAAACTGAACTGACACGGCACTGAGACGTCACTGTTATGTGTGAATCGACCTTTAATTGTACGTACCAGTTTAAATACCGGATACGCTACGTTAAGGTAAGTACGGGAGAGTTCGACCACTTTGTTAAATAAATTCTATAATTTCTTTATTTTCATAAATTTTATTACATCTTTTTGTAAATGCCTTCAGACAGAAAATAAAATGATATATGAAACCTATACAACTGGTCGGTCTCTCCCACATACGTGGGTGAGAGCCAGTGGCGGTTACTACTAAAGTGCTCTCGTGCTCGCGCACCACCTGAATAAAATAATATAGGAAATATATTCCTGCAAATTGCAATGAGTTAACTAATACTAATAAATTAAAGATATTAATTCACAGATATTTTTTTTCCATTATATTGCGTGCAAATCGCACTTAAAATATGCATCAAGTATAGCGCAATGTGCTCTAGCAGTCGGAGCACGGGATTCCTTAGCAATCGGCTTCTAATTACAAACTCGGACGCATTCGGGCTAGCCGTCAAATGCATTTTTAAGCAGGCGACGGTGCGCTAGTTTGCATCGCACGTTCGTAATTATAAATTGTTCATTTCTGATTATTAACGCTGTAATTCGAACGTAAGGGTAACTGTGAACTTTTAAAATGAATTCGGTACAATTTATTTTAAAAACCCCTTTTTCTACTTTACCATTGGAGCAAAAAATGGAAATTAAACATCTTGGAAGACCTACCCCAGATATTACTATAAAAGTCGCCGTAAAAAGTAAAAATAAACAATTTGTGCGTACTTTTAACAAAGAATTGTACAAAAAACATATCTGGTTATGCGGATGTGATAGTGTAAATGCTGCGTTTTGTTTTCCGTGTTTGTTGTTTGGAGGAGAAGTTTCTTGGACAAAAACTGGGATAACTGATTTAAATCATATAAACGAAAAAATTAAAAAACACGAAAAGTCTCCAGTGCATATGAAAAATGTTTTGAATTTAGCTATGTTGGGTACGGCAAATATTGCTACTATGCTGGATTCTGCATATAGAAAATCTATTGAACGCCATAATGCACTAGTAACGAAAAATAGATACGTTTTGAACATAATAATTAACTGTATTCGCTTTTGTGGCAGTTTCGAATTAGCTTTAAGGGGTCACGATGAAACTGCAGAGTCTCTAAATCCGGGTGTATTTCGAGGTTTGATAAATTTTAGTGCCGAATTGGACGAGGCCATGAAAATGCATTTGGATAAAGCCACTCATTTTAAAGGTACATCAAACACTATCCAAAATGAATTGCTGCAAGCAATGTTAGAAATGTGTCGTGAAACAATTTCTCAGGAAATTAAATCCGCGGATTATTTGTCAATTATTGCCGACGAGACTACTGATGTCTCGGCAACTTTTCAAATGGCCATTATTTATCGGTATATATGCGATGGAAAACCCGTTGAAAGATTTTGGGGTTTTCTAAATCCAGAACAACATGATGCAGAATCTTTATCGGGATGCATAAAAACTGAAATTGATAGGCATATACAGAATGATCCATCTAAATTGATAGCACAAACCTATGATGGAGCTAATGTTATGAGTGGGGCATCAGGTGGAGTTCAAGCTAAAATTAAGGAAAGTTATCCAAATGCGCAATATATTCACTGCTACGCCCATCAGTTAAATTTGGTTATGTCAAATGCTGCATCCATCAATCGCAGTGTACGTATATTTTTTGCAAATTTGAGTGGAATTTGTTCATTTTTCTCAAACTCTCCCCAGCGAACAGCCATTCTGGATAGTGTCGTTGGCAAAAGATTACCCCGGGCTGTTACTACACGGTGGAATTTTAATTCCAGGACTGTAAATACTGTATTTGAGTATAGAGAAGAACTTATTGAATGTATGGAAGAAATTGAGTATAGTGATAAAATAAAACATAAAACAACAATTGAGCAAGCTTCTGGACTTAAACGTATGCTAAAGGATGAAGATTTCTTATTCTGGCTAAAGATATTCCATAAAATAATGCCGCATGTGGACCTCCTATACAATCAGCTACAAAAACGAGAAATCGATGCAGTTTACGTAAAAAGTAGCATTGAAAAGTTCACGGATGAAATTTCTAAGATACGAGAGAATATTGGTTCGACTGACAATATTGCAGATGATGGAGAGACCAATCAAGAAGGACGAAAGAGGAGACGAATTGAAACATCCACAGGGTCAAAAAACAGAGAAGCCAAAGAAATTTGCGATGTCATAATCAGTGAAACAAGAGCCAGATTCAAATTCACAGGTCATCTTATTGCATCAAACCTTTTCCAGTCTTCAAAGTTTCAGGACTACTCAAAAAAGTTTCCTGACCAATATTTGTTGAGTACGGTAGAGGCATATCCACATTTGGATGAAAAGAGATTAAAAACCGAACTGGAACTTGTGTACGAAAGGGAAGAATTTCGTAGTATTTCTGGAGCCCTCTCACTGTTTTCGTTTATGACGTCAAACCAACTGCATGCTGTTTTTCAAGAGACAATCAAATTGCTGGAGATAATTATCACAATGCCGATGTCATCTGCAGAAGCTGAGAGATGTTTTTCAACGCTCAAGCGAATAAAAACATTCTTGAGAAATTCGATGTGTGAGGAGCGGCTATCCGCGCTTGCTATGTTGTCTATAGAACGAGATCTTATCACCAACATACCGGATTTTAATAATAAAGTGATAGAAAAGTTTGCACAATCGAAAAATCGCAAAATTGAACTCATATATAAAAAAAATTAATTAATGTTAATTTTTTATTAATAAAAGGTTTAAATAAAAATTCAATACCTAAAATCTAGAGCACTACCTATTTTTTCAGCAAGCACCGCCACTGGTGAGAGCGACCACGTACATTGGGAGAGACCGACGATTTTTGCTTCTGTTTGCCACAGAAGTCACATCCATCATGTTTCGATCATTGCTCATGGTACCAACGGTCACAAATAGTGATTGTATCCAGCCGTCTTGGCTTCTCGTTTGGTTATAATCTTCTCCGCATCCTGCACATTCATTTTCGTTCCACGTTTCTGATGAGACATCACTATCAGCAAGTACAAGACTACCACTTTCAGAATCCGAATTCTGGCGTGACCGTTTCTTGCGTTTGACATTTTTGAACTTTTTGGGGATAGCAACAGTTTTTTTATTCCTTGATTTGACCTTTTCTTTTTGGGATGCAATACGATCTGAACTATTTAATATGCTAGCAAGGTGTCTGCCACGTTTCTTTGCAGTCACCTGTGTACTTGTTCTAGGAACAGGGGAAATTTCTTGGGCAAGTAATTTTCCTGGTGTAATAGTGTCCTTGACTGTAGGCAAGTCTTGATGGTGTGAACAACTAGGCTGCAGTGTAGAAGGTCGATTAACTATGACTTGTGTTGGTCTCGACTTTTGCGGTTCTTCTATGGGCTGAGGAGACGCATGCGAAAGTTCCACATCTGCAACAACTTTGTTCAAAGCATCTGGATCGTTTTCCATTTCCATGGCAATAAACGCGTAATCCGGAATAACATCCGGGTGCAATGGTGAAATGCCTAAAATGTTACTTATTGGGCAATAATGTGATCCCAACGGTGTACGTACTGATGCCCAATAACCAGCAGGCAAGCTATGTACGTGTTTTGAATGCATTACAAACACTTGAGCCTAGGCTTGATCCCTTATCAGTGATGACTGATTTTGAAACCGTTGCTATTAACGCATTTTCCGAGGCATTTCCCCCAGCACGCCAAAGAGGATGTTTTTTCCATTTTACGCAATGTTTGTGGCGACAAATTCAAGTATCTGGATTGCAACAAGCGTAGGGTAATTCCGGGATAGATGCCACTGCGGTAGAGATGCCGAACTCGTTTTTCTGCAAATATTAACGGTCAGGTGACTTCACTGTGCAATTAAGTTGTAGCGCTATTTACGGTGATCAAACGTATGTCATAACCGCTGAAAAATTCAACTGTAGAGGTAAGTTATGAACTATTATACGTTTTTAGCATGTCGAAAATTTCCAAGTGCATGAGTTCAACTTGTTTATTGACTACATAAACATACGTTGTATATTATTTGCATATAACAAGGTGATAGAGTAATAAGTAGGGTTATGTTTCGTTGCGCTAGCCATGCATTTGGAAGCATTCAGTTCTTCTTACATCGTTAGGCATCTCTCCCTGACAAACGGGAGAGATGCCAATTTCATTCAGGGTGTGATGCCGTTAACCTACTGTTGTATATTTTTTAGAAATGCCTACTGTGTATACAAAAAAATGCCCTTCGCGAGGTAAATGGACCGAGGAAATGCTGCGTACTGCTGTACAAAGTGTTTCTGATGGAACAGATATTAATGAAGCCGCGAGAATATATAATATTCCACTTCGAACCTTAAAACGACGCATTGAAAAGAAAAATTTTACCAAAGGAAGAATGGGACCAGCTAGTTTGTTGGGCGAGGAGGGAGAAAAGAAAATGGTTCAGCATATAAAACGGTTACAAGAACGAGGATTTACTCCTACAAGGCTAGATGTTAGAGAGATGGCATTTAGATTAGCGGAAAAATTGAAAATACCTCATAAATTCGATTCTGAAAAACAGCTTGCAGGTTACGATTGGCTAGCA